ACTTGTTCCCATTTTTCATATGAAAGTTTTTTGTTCATTTCTCCCTTTCTCTCTTCATGTTTACTTTGGCGTTTATTTTATTCTAATTATATGCTTGAAAAAGTTGCAACAACAAAAACTACGAAGAAAAAAAAACAACAACGATGACAACTGAATTTACAAAAAAAAAAAAAAAAAAAAAAAAACGCACAGCATCCGGTAAATGGAAGTGACTATTTTGAAAACTAGAAAGAAGTTATTTGAGGATCTACATAAAACTACTTCCTCGAGGGTAGATGGGACAGAGTCAAACCCGGTTGTCACGATACGTTAGGAGTTTTATGATAGCTCATAGTCTTCTTTATAAGTAACACCTAAAAACCTGTAATTAATGTTCCTCATAGGAGTTCAGGTATTCTGTGGCAAATTTGCTATAAAGAAATTTAAAACATTTTCACTGGTCACAATTCAATGACCCTTGCATGTTACTCCCATTCCATTCCTTTCATAAATAGAGAAATATATATTTTTCATAACTCAAATCTCAGTTTGTTTATATGCATACACCATAACGAATGTTCTTTTAGTTATTTCGTTTCCCCCCACCCCAGTCTCCGCTAGTATTACCTCACTTCGCGTTGCAGCGAAGCCTTGTTTTTTGCAAATGACACACGTAATGGCGGAAAAATACTTTCAGCGGATATGCCTGTAACTGGTTTCTTCGGTATTTTGTGTGTGTCTATGTGTGTTTCAGCGTTCTCTGATTTAAAGGCAACAGCGTTTTCCCCACTTTTTCCATTCACCATTGCCTGCGATTCTATCTGGCAATTGCAAAAAGTGACAGCCACACTAGCTAGCTAGCATCATTCCCATCATAGAGGCCATCATCAGCTTGTCCATATGAACAACTGAGAGTTGCAGCAAAACAAAACTAACAACAGCAGCAACAAAAAGAAACTTAATTTTGTTTCAACAGCTGCAATTGAGAGCTAGAAAAATCTATGTTTTTGATCGCACAGACATTTGTGTTTTTTATCATCAACATGTGGAGAAAAAGTTTTTTTTTCTGCTCCAGTTTTGAAATTTTCCACGAGTGTTTTTTTGCGTAGCATGCCACGCTTTAGCTAGAAAATGATTCCCTGGAGTTTTTCGTAGCATTTTGTGTCTTTTTTTTTTGTTAAAGAGTTGGGCTCATTTCAGACATGTTGTAGCTACGAATAAAGCGTAAAACTTGTTTAAATTGTAATGATGATAAAACTAATGGTATTTTAACCGATACTTGCATTCATACCCAGCAAACATTTTGGGAGTCATATTTGCTAAATAACCCATTAAACAGCTTCTGCATTGCCAAAATAACTTTTTTTTTTTGAGTGTTTGTCTTAACCTTTACCACGTAATGATTAATGTAGGCACATAGTATGTCCTTCCAACCACAAACGTTGAAAGTAGCAGTCGGCTTTGACGACATAGGTGCACTCTCCGCTTGTTTAATTTTTTTTTCGAGATTTATTGCGACAATGCCCTGAAATGGACATTTTGTCCGTAGCCATATTGCTCCCCTTGTGGGGGAGGTACCAAAAGTTTGACCCCTTTGTGGAGGAGGTTCCAGAGGGAGTCTTATCTATCCAATTTTCATACCAAATCTAGAATTGGTAGAAATATTGAGATATGCGAAATTTGAAGACACTCGAAACCTTCTTTTACGTTTTATAAGCGTTGCGATTGTTCAATATTTTAACCCTTTTTGGGAGGAATGTACTAGAAGAAGTGGACCGATATTATCCATTTTCACATCTCATTTAGCCCTGATATGAAATATTAAGATTTGCAAAGTTTGAACAGAATGGGATGAACAGTTTGACCTTTTGTGGGGGAAGTGCCAGAACGTGTGTCATCTCCGAACTCGATCAAAGTTTGATAATAATATTACGGTTTACCAAGTTTGGACTAAATCGGATATTCCCTTCGAGAGTTAGCGTGAGTACCAGCCAGTTAGTCAGGCAGACAGACAGACAGACACTCCTAGATCGGCTCCAAATGTCCTGAAACTGATTTTGTCCAAAAAGACCTAGGTTCTAAAACTGTTATTTCAATGAGGCACGTTTTACCGTAAAGTTCATTTCGATTATAAATTCGATAATGCTACAAAGAAGGAGACATTCTTAGATATGATAAAACACATATCCCAGCTTTATTTTATTTTTTATATTTTATTTTTTAGATATTTTATTTTTTTAGAACTCTTAATGAACACTGTAACACCTGATATTGAGCTTCACAACGGTACCCATGTGCGTTTTTTGTACAAAAAAAAAAAAAAAAAAAAAAAAAAAACATGCCATACAAATTGTTAGCTATTTAATCTAAAAAATTAAAAAAAAATTGATTTCAAGCTCTCTTAAAAACATTTTTATTGGAAAAGAGTGGTATTCAATAGGTGTTAATTTTCACTTCAAATGGCTAAAATGCCACCCACTGAGCCGATTTGCCAGGAAAAAAAGCTTTGATGTAATAACAAAATAACTCACACACAAAGAACTAACTTTTCAGCTTCACAAAGTGAAAAAATACAAAAAATAAAAAAATGCGATTCAACGTGTGACAATATTATCAAAAACAGAATTTTTATATTTTTCCTTGCTTTGTCCTGCCAGTTTCTTTTTTATATTATGTCAGTGTAAAAAAGAATTCGTTACTCCGCCATTAAAAAAGCGAAAAATAGAAATTCTATAAAACGTGTCCTTTGAAATTGAGATGTCAGCAAGTCGGCCCCTGCCATTTTTAGGTACCTACCCAGATGTCCAGGTCATTGAATTAGTTTTTTTATGAAGACATTTTTACATAAATTGTGTTCGTATGTATGGCACAATTTTTTGTTATGTATCGAAGACCTATAGTCTCTTTTTTTGGAGAACTGCTATCCTTTTTACTCTCTTTAAGCAGTGCCAAAGTTGTATGTCCTTATGTTTGGTTTGGCATCTTACTATATCACTTACTTTCTTCTAGATACACAACTTTCCCAGCGTTGTGATACTTACTTTCGCTCACACAAAACACACACACACACACCCAGATGAATAAGGCAGGCTTACTCTCTTATGTGTTTATAAATCTTTTTGCCAACACTTTCAAACTTAAAGGATTTACTATAAATCTTGATATTTCAATAAACTATATACTGGCTGTAAGAAGAGTAGCTCGTGTTTTCTTTTTCGTTTTTTTTGTTGCTCTTTCTTCATGCATTTAGCTCTTATCCTTTGTATGGTATTTTGCATATGCATGGATTGCCATGAATCTCCCTCCTTGGTAGCTATTTTTCTTGAGAGATGGCAGGAACGGTCGAAAAGTGGCATGGTTAGTAGTTGGTACTCGACAAAAATATGTTAGAAAACTTAATATGATGCTTGCGAAGATGTTGTAGTTTTTCAATACTCTTGTCATTTGAAGAAAGATTTCCTTAGGTATCGACATTGTTGCCTTTTTTTTGTTATTTAAGAGTCTTGAAAGTGTTGCTTTTTTGTAGTTTAGGCATTTTTCTATTAATTTTAAATTTATTTTTGAGGCATAATTTAATAAAAATATTTCAAATAGGGATTGAAGCACTTCATTCTATTTGAATGAAAAATGAAGTAAAATATTTATGAATTTTTAAGTTTAGAATCATCATTTTTGCCTATTCACCATTTCTGAAATATGAAAGTCTAGTAAAAACATAGATTTATCTTGCATCTGCAAGTGTTCACATGGCCAACTTGATTGTCTTTGAAACCCGTTAAGTTTTGTTATAGTGTTGCATGTGTAAAGTGCCGCAACCTTTAATTTTTTTAGGCCCAGTTCCATAAATTGAAATTAATTGATCGAAGACACAAACCACGTATAAACACAGTAGTTAGCAAGATCATAAACAGATATATATCAAAATGATTTTTACTCAAAATTCCTAACGTCTCAAAACCGTTTTTATTGGACCTCAAAAAACTCGCTCAAATGAAACTCGGAAGTGGAGCGAGAGCACTCGTAAGAGTAGAAAAAACAGAACGAGCAAAACTCTATTTTTTCGGTTTCCTTCGAATAAGGACGAGAATGCTCGAGTTAGAGTGGTTCGGTTTTCTAAAATAGTTTCGATATCGATTTGACTCTTAAAGCAAACTCTTGAATTGAGTGATTGGTCTCCCATTCTAAGTTTCCAAACAGGAGTGACTTAGCAGCGTTCCCACACACAAAGTGAAGAGTAACTTCATAAAAAGCCCCCACTCTTCGAGCAATCTCGCTCGCGGGCAAACTTCACTCCCGATTGAAAACGAACAAATCTGTCTGATCTAAAGAGAATAATATTTACAAAATATAGTTTTACATATTTAAATATTCCACTCCATTTTTGCCAAAAAGTATTCTGCCGCTTACCAAGCAAATTATAGGCTATTCCGTTAAAAAATTATTTTCAAGATACCATTACATATTTTTGGGATGCCGATAGTCAGGTAGGGTATCGAATAGTAGGCCCATCCGCCTCATTGCCTTCCTCTAGTGGTTTTTGAATCATGTTTATTTCTTACTTCTTTGAAGAAATAATTTCCTTGGCTGCATACTTCCCTTTTGGGCAGAGAGATTTAAAACCAGTCAAACGTAACAACGCTACACATACTTATGTACTTATACTTATGCATTAAAAAATATGCTTATATGATCACACATATGTTCACATACTCACGCACCCAGTTCTAGAGAAAATCGTTTGGAAACGAACTATGTTTCGCAACGATATTTTCATTTCGGTAACCTACCACCCCGCCCACTTTGGCCAACTCCTATTGCTCGCTGTGCCTGTCTCGTGTTTGTCTTATGTTTTCCCTTCATTGTTGGCGGTAATTAAGTCTGAAATCCAATTATGAAGCTTATGAAAATTCAAGAATCCACGGGAAAAAAACAAGTTCAAAAGGAGTTAAGCAAAATAAGTGAAGGAACGAGCGAACAACCGACCCTGCTCAGCTCAAGTGAACCCAAAACTGAACGGCGACATGTTCACGTTAAGTTCCCTTGTGCCAATTTGCAACAAAAGCAATAACAAACTGCTGCTGTTGCACGCATTCCAACAACAACAGCAACCCGGCAAGAAACCAAACCATCATCAGCGAACCCACCACACACAGCGACCGCAGCAAGACAAAGCGAAGTGAAGCCGGGTGTTGTGCCAAAAACGTGCAATTAACAACAATACCCTCGCCTTAAAAGCTATATCACGATGCCACCAAATCTTGAACTCACTCTTCAATACCCCAACACGTTATATATGTATGTATATGTGGAATATGCATAAATGTAGGATAAGGATGATGATGATGACGATGGCGGCGACGACGACGACGACATTCATTATTGCTGCAAATGAACAACCATTCTCCTGCTGCTTGGTCTAGCATTTCTGCCAAAGAAAACATTTAACGTGACATGTTTCCCCATGCAACTGCAATTTTCTATGCACAACCGAATCGGAGCTTACAACTGCCATCCACCCACACACACTATTACTTCCATTCAAATGATATTCAGTTGGTAATCTGAAAATCTGTGTTATTGTTGTTGCTGTTGTTTGCAACCAAGTAGGGGGGAATGGATTTATATGTACCGACAGTCTGAACGTGCCATATTAGAGTTCCCTGCCACTACTGCAAGAGTCAGTTGGTAAAACGTTGTTGTTTTATGAATTAGTACAACTCCGCCAGAGTGTTTATGTTGTATTTACCTCTTGAGATTGAAAGTTTAGTTGTTGTGAAAACACACACACACACACACACACACACACACACACACATACATACACCCACACACATGCATGGTAATTTTCCTCGATATTTCCCGTACACCAAAAGAAAATAGCAAAAGCCATTGTTTTGCATTTAAATTCTCACGTAATAATTGCATTGCAGCCAGTCAACTGTTTCACATGCCATGCTTCGAAATTTTGGCATTTGATTGGTTACCTTTCCTCCGGAAAACACCCAAAATATTATAATTTTCCAAAAAAAATTGTGTACATGTATTAGTTACAATTTATGGTTCTTCAGTTTATATATTTTATTGATTTTATTAGTATTGGGTTGAGATCGAGAGGCCAGGCAATAAATCTTATTGTGGCATGGAGTAAGCATACCCGACCTTAAGCCCTAAAGTCGCTGGTTCGAACTGATTTTTACCAATTAATGGGATTGTGAAATTCTTTTTACGTACCATTTACCCAACCTCTTACTTTAAATAAGGTGTTAGGTAAACTGGTAATTACCAAACTACCACCATGATTCTTGAGCAAATGTATTTTTTTTTTTTTCTGATTTTTAGTTCACGAAATACGCAATATTAGTTCAAAATCGTTTTACAACAGGATTATATTTTGACTAAAAATGGGGTCATGAATTTTACCTTACTTTCACATGTATTGAGTCCCATGAAGGATTCTTCGTATCTAAGTCATTTGGGAATAATTCAAATTTTAACAAAAAAATCTTCATTTCGAAATATCACAGCTTACAAAATTTAGTTTTTAATATTTTATTAATAATTCCTAAAATTAAATTTTCTGAGAGCCGAGAGCAAAAGTCGGCCATTAGATAGTTAAATAGAGATTTCCATTTTTTTTTTTTTTTTGGCAACCACAAGATTGCCTATAAGCCATTTTTATACCATCTATCATACAATGGAGGGCATATTAAATTTGTCATTCCGTTTGCAAAACTTCGAAATATCCGTCAGAGACCCCAAAAAGTATATATATTCCTGATCCTGAGAATAAAATGATAAGGCTATTTAACGATGTCCGTCTGTCTGTCTGTCTGTTGAAATCACAATAGAATCCACATTACTTAATCTAGAGCTTTGAAATTTAGGAAAAAGGTTTATATTATATGCAGGCTGATTGGTTTTTAAAATGAACCATATTGGACCACGTATAGGTTTAGCCTCCATATAACGGTATTTCAAGATTTTCGGTGTTTTGAAGGTTTTTGCATCAGTTTTCAAACAAATCAGCTGAAACTTGTCATTTGGGGTTCTTGAAAGGTCTGCTCTTTTCTGCGACAGATTTCTATAGCTCCCATATAACGGTACCCTCGATTTTCGGTATTTTTGAGGTTTCTGCCACAATTTCCAAACAAATAATTTTCTGCCACAATTTCCAATCAGTCTGAAACTTTACATTAAGGGTTCTGTCTCTTCTTGCGTAAAATGTTCGATTAAGTTCCACTAATTGATATAGCCACAATATAAAGGTACCTTTGATAAACATAATGATGGAGGGTATAAGAAGTTCGACCCGGCCCTCATTTTTTCTTGTTAGATCTGCATGTTTGGTTAGTTGCATAGCTGGATCGCATAAGAATAAAAAATCTATCCCTAGGAAAAAATCTCAATTTATTACAAAAACTCCACTTTACAACACACAAGAACAGGTCGTAATAAAGTCGTTTAATTGCATGAACGAATGTCAAATTTAGGATTTTACAGCCTCATGCTATTTTTCAACTTTAAAACAGTCCCAGGTCCATCGTGGGTCAATGTGAGAGTGCTTGGATATATGGTATACATGCACTAGTCTTTGTTTTACAAACTTCATTTTCTTTTCCTTTTTTTTTGTTTTGTTTTGTTTTTTTTTTTTTTTTTTTTAATAATTGCTGCAATTATTTGTTATATTTCCTAAAACCATTTGCGGTATACTGTTGGCCGTTAACAATGAATGATTTGCAATTTTTTGCACGATTTTGACTTTTTCTTCGCCATTCCGTTCGTACCCAGGGAGTTTTATGGTTGCAAGTAGATTTTTATCATAATGGAGCTAAAAACGTCAAGTGCAACACGGGAAAATTGTTTAAAACTGCTACCATTATTAAGTGTCCGACAAAAAAACGTAGGCCGACAATTCACGCATAATGGCGTGCTGGGAATGTATAACAGTTGAAATTATTATTTCAATGGTATACCACACAAATGAGAGAGGGCTAGTGCACACAATGTAAATACATACATAAATATATTCATATGTATGTATGTAAATGACATCATGTTTTTTCTTTAATGAAAATTGCAAATTTTTCAAAGACAAAATTTTCAAAAAATATTTGTATTTTCCTATTTTTTGTATTGTCCACATCCTGTAAAATAAAATGCAAAAATTTACAATATTTTTACATTGTGTCCATGTATGTATTTATGAACGAATTTCCTTTTTGGTATTCTGGCATTTTGTCAAAACCCAAAAACAAATGTGAAAAGGAAACGTCCAATCAATAAACCAAAATCACATTCATAGTTCAATTGGTAAAAATGGTCAATTCTCTCTATAAAGTCTTTGGGACATTTACATATGCATGTACACACACAACAACAATAATCAATAAATACTAATCGTAAGTAATCATTGAATTTTCCTTTTGTATTCATTGGCAAATTGTCAAAAAAAAGGAGAAAACCCATAACGAAAACCGAAAATGTTGTATTTTTGTTTTATGTTTGTAATCCTTTGAATTTTTCTCTGCCAACTAGACATTTTGAATATCGATTTATGAGAATTCTTTTTTTTTTTTTCATTTTTTGCAAATTCAGTATTAACTACACACAATGTGAGCTTCTGTGTGATATTTAAAAAAATGTGTGTGTATTAGTGCAGTCCTATTAGGTATTGTTTAAAATAATCAAAACGATATTTTATTTAAAAACTGAAATCCCTTTTGGATTTAAATTTGTTTTTAGCTTCCCATGTTGAATTGATCCATCAGCTGGAGTATATTCATTACAATTTATTCAATAATATTTAACAAATGCATATGTATAACCAACATACTCGTGTATTTACATTGGTATGTACATAATATACAACGACTATTGATTGGTATCATCGGTTATAGTTTGAACCCAATAAACATATTATATAGTATATCTTTCTTTTTAATTTAGTATAAACTGGAAACATAAACTCTTGAAAATAATAGCGAAAGAAATTGTTGTTAGTAATTTTTCTGAAAATTCAAAGAAAAGTTCTTCTTTGCATATTATTTTTTTTATTAAGTTATCTTGAACATTTTCATTCTGATTCAATTTAAAACTCAGCAATCGGCAAATCTCAAATTCTTTCGGTTATATTTTCCAAAATATGAAAATTTCGTACAAATTTAAAAATTATATAAAATTTAAAATTTATGTTACAATTTTCCCTTTTTTTACTTTGCATTTGGGCGCCACAATCCCTAATAAATGAGTTTTGCCCTTTTCACATATCCTTTCTACCGCTTATTTTCTAGAAATGGTGTAGGAGATTAAAATAATTGTTCCTAAGTTCCTTATGTATGAAACCATAATTCAAATCATTTTTTTTTTAATGTTTAGTCTGAGAGGTTCTTGTTTCCAACTCTCCCTTCTCACTGAACGTGTGTTTAAACATTTCGATCGTAATTCTTATTTTAATTTTACAACATCGTTTTGTAATGACCACAGCTCTGATTTGCTCGTCTTTACTCAGAGTAAAACATATTCGAAAGTGGGAGTGCTCGTAGAGTACCAGTCTTCCCCTAAGTTTAGCCTGTGCTCTGTTGGTTCATGTAAGGAAGCTCGCTTCGCTCATTTTCTTTAAAATAATAGTGGTAGTTAACATCTTCGAAATAAAGTAGAAGCTTATTTAAACAGCTCATGCAAGTGGAAAAGCTAGCAAAGGTAAAATCTGCTTGATTTCGAGCCAATTTTACTCTCACTCGAAAAGGAGCAAAACGTACTCGCTCTTATTCGAGTGGCATAACAAACTAAAGCATTCTATATTTCTTTTTTTTTTCTTTCTCGTCGAAGTACGCCAGCTCGAATTTGAGTAGAGAGAAAAAAAACATTTCGTAGCTTTGCTACAAACAAGTTTTATGCCTCAGTATCTCAGGATTGATCCCTTACTTCGGTTAGGGCAATAAAAAAACACCAACAGCTCATACGTTTATTAAAAATTATTACAAGAACAGAATAGGGTTAAAGACTGACTCTTTTGATACTTGAAAGGATTTAAGGATTTTAATTCTAAGGATTTTCTCTACCTAATGAATTGTCTCTACTCAGATTTAAATTAATTGGTTTATGTGTGTGCA